CATTTCATACCGTTACTGGCCAGGGCCAGGTGATCTCATTTTCTTTCTTTGTTGGTCTCGTTTTCTTTCTTTGTTTTGCTTTTCTCAAAGCACCACTACCTTTCCAAGCTGTTGGCCACGGGCGGGTACCCGCGGGTCTCGGAGGCGGGAAACGAAAAGAAGGCGGCCGATGAAATTTCTCAGCGGCGGCCTGCTTTCGGCCCAGTCGCCGAAGAATGCGGTATAGGGTACATTCCCACTTTTCCCAGCACTGTTAAAGGTAGTGGGAAAAGTCGAACTGTAAGTGCCCAACGAGCAGATCACGCCACTTTACTCGTTGATATGCGGAAAGTGATTCACCGCCTGGCAGCTTTAGGTTTTGGTGACAAATCGGGGAACCCTGAAGGTCCTAAACCCAAACTTTTATTTCCAAACAAGATCTGCAGAAAAAAAAAAAAAAAGCAGTGTGTCACGTATAGAAAGAAAAGGATAGTGAAGGACAGATTAGACCGGGATGACTCGATCTTGGAGGCAGAATGTGATGCGTAATTGGGTGAAATGCTTACGTGGCAATGTCGTAAGATAATGGCATAACTGCACAAGCAGATTCCTCCCCAATTTTTCGCCGCTTTCCAACAACCTGGAGGACAAAAATTGAGGACAACGAATGGAGACGAGTATATGGAAATGGTTCCTAGCAACTTCCTACTACTTAGTCATACAAGTATTATCAAAATTTTGTCAAAAAGCACACTTTTTCACACGCTCCGCAGGTCCACCGCTCTGACTGGTGGAATAGAGAATAGACTCTATAGACCATCACTCTTATGTATTGCTTGAAAATTGTTTCCGCCCCACTTTCTTATCAGTTTCCGCCCCACTCTCGTATCAGTTTCCTCCCTACTTTCTTATCAGTTTCCGCTCCACATCCCTATCCATTTCTTATCAGTTTCCGCCCCACTTTCTTATCAGTTTCCGCCCCACATCCCTATCCATTTCTTATCAGTTTCCGCCCCACTTTCGTATCAGTTTCCGCCTCGCAATTCACTTGAAATTTCCGACACTTTTTAAGACTCAGTAACAAGGGCAATCCAGCATTGAACAATTGCAAATCTGTCCCAGAATAAATTGTGTTTATTGCACATTGCACACCGGGTTGAACGTTGGTCAGTCCTTTTTTTTTTCTTTTTTTTTTTTTAATGCAAAACGTGGCATGTTGTGCTCAATTCTCGTTCCCCTTTCTGCAAAAGCCATCAAGTCGGGGTCCAAATTTCCAAATTTTAACTTCGGCGCAAGCATTTCCAAGGAGTGGTTCATCACAATCGCGTTCCTGGAAATCTTCAGTAGTTTCTTTCCGCGGGAGGTTAGCACATCCAGGTGTCCAGGTGCAATGGAAAAAAAAAAATAGGGACTTCCAGGGTTTGGAACATTGGATTCAATATTCGGTAGGACAGCTGGTGAGCCTGGCATTCCTCTGAATGAAGGTCTCAAAGGGGGGATAGTCTTCCCTGGGTGGTTGATAATTAGTGACGCAAGCCTGTCATCCGAAATGCAGAGCAGAGACTCCAAAGACCAGGAACAATGATCAGAGTCATCTGACTCAAAAGACTCAGGAAACCATATCCACGAACATAATCACACCTGCGAAGTGCAAGGAGGGTGAACATACATGGACGAAAGGTCATTTCTTCCATAAGACAATGTCTTGGCTTTTCATTTTCAAATTTGAAAACGAACTCGTCAGTTCCTTCCTTCCTTTGGCCATAATGGAAGAAAAAACTGCCATTTTTTCAATTTTTTTGCTGAGATCCCCGCTTTTCGCTGAGTGTTCGAAGTCTCTGTGTGTGTGAGTGCTTGCTGATGTGTGTGTCCGTCTGAGTGCCCATCTGCCTGAGTGTGTGTGTGGCCTGCCAGGGCACTTGTTTGTTTGGGAGGCCTGCAGGGCCAGTACTTACCCGTGGCCGTGACTTATAGGGTTGCAGCGGGGAAACACACGCAAGTGGCCGAAGTGGTAGCTTAGGGCACACTCACGTAGAGGTAGGTAGGGGCCGGTAGTACTCGAGTAGCGGTAGGCCGAGCAGAAGAAGACAAACAGTTTGTATGTGTAGGGGTAGAGGTCCGGCAGTGTAGTTTCTGTTAGGGCCTGTAGCGGTAGATACCAGGCCTGCAATGATGTTTCCCTCCAAAACGGAGGGAGAACCGCTTGCTTGGGAGGCCGAGCGGCCTGGAAGTCACTGCCCAAGGGGCAAGTTGCCCGCGATATCTCAAGGCAGAGCGAGTTGCTCTGCCTCATTTGCGGCGTGCAAGTTTGGGCGTCACGCTGCTGGAGCGTTCTGTATAGGAGCGCTGTGAGGAGCGCTGGGAAAGAGGGGCGCCCAGTCTTCCACCTTCGGCTATGGTGGAAGGGACTGGGTGGGAGGAGGAGGAAGAAGGGAGGACTGGGAAGGACAGCGGCCAGGGTAGTTACCTGGATATGGTGGACACCATCTTCCTCTTCTTGGTAGGCGCTGCATCTGGAACGGCCCAAGTGGGGTGGCATTGCATCAAGAAGGCTTCAAGGCAGAGTAGGCATGGGGGCCTGAGGTGTAGCAGACATAGCTGCTTTTGCGTTGTCTTTTGAACATCGCGGCAGGGCCCGGAGTAGTCCGCCATAGCCAACACCTGTCGGAGGTGGAGGAAGATGGAAGTCATGGCTATGGTGGACCTCATATAGTGCTGGGAGTAAGAGAGGGATTCGGACATTGGTTCTGGTTCAGCCATTCATTGAAACGGTTTTCACCTTTTGCAGACACAGATGGGGATCCCAGGGCTCGATCCCCAGACCTCACCTTACCTTACCTTACCTGTGTACAGTATCAAGTCGACCCTGTGAGTCTTGAACCCGTGACCTGTGTGTTAGTAGTTGAAAGTTGTCTGTCGTAGGTCTGAGTAGTTGTCTGGTCTTGAACCTTAGACCTGTCGAAGTAGGGGTCATACCAGCATAGGGGTCGTAGTTGTTGAAGTTCTGAAAGGTCACGGTCGTAGCTGCTACAGTCCTGAAAGGTCCAAGGTCGTAGCTGCTACAGTCCTGAAAGGCCAAGTCCGCAAGTGGCCTTTCAAGTTTCTTCTCACGTTATACACAGCAGGCCAGAGGCAAGTGGGCAAGTGGTGAGTCCAACTTCGCTTAGTCAGCGGTACCCAGTCCCAGTCTCCCTTTGTACAGTCAGCAAGCACCATGAGGGACTGTGTGCACCGTGGGCCCCGTGGAAAAGGGCAGACCAACGACTTGCAGAAGTATAAATCAAGAGCCAGCGTCCAGCCATTCATTCATTCTGCTGTGCGCCATGCGGAAGCGCTGCCCGAGCGTCTTGTGCGAGGTGGTCTGCAGATGCCCGAGGTCGAAGTGGGCTTGAAGAAGTCAGTGCGCCATAGTTAGTAGTAGCCGGCGGCCATAGCCGCCATAGCTAGTGTTAGGTGTTAGTGAGTGTGTACGTGTGTGTGATACAGTGAACGCGTGTGGGGATATTCAGGATGATCCAGACTTGAGTGTGTGCGAACAGTGGTGTTGGACACAGTGACGAGAGTTCGGATGTACAGGCGCTGATGCGCCATAGCCTGTTGAAGCAAGTTTGCATCTGAACTGTGTTCTCGGTTTCCATATCTCTGAGCTTTGAGTGGGCGCTTGGCGCCAGTGTGCTTTGCCACCTGTTGCATGCATGAAGTTGAAGAAGAAAGCGGGTCTGGTTGCACATTGTTATTATTATTATTTATTGTTGAATAAGAGAGGGGGAGATGAGGAGGAGGAGATTGGTTGGCGGACAGAAGAAGGGGTTGTGATTGGTCTTTTGCTGGTGTACATCTTCTTCTTCCTCTTTCTTTCTTTCTTCTTCTTCTTCTTCTTCTTCTTCTTCTTCCTAGGTCTCTTTCTCCTCTCAAGTTCATTCATTTCTTTAAATTCTTTTGCAATTGGACGGCATAATCGTCGGCATTGTATTTCCTTGTGTATTTGCACTTTGGAATTGGTGAAGATCGGAACAAACTTCAACAAAGGGAAAGAAACAATTTTTTTATTTTTTATTTTTTTTTAAGGTGGGGTACCCGGGTACCCAAACTATATGACACTCCCCTTCTTCAATAATTTTTGATTTTTTCTTTTTGTTCATCAGGAAGGCATGAAATTTGGTAGGGATATAGCCTATGAGCAAGGGATTTTACAAAATAAAAAAGGCCTTTAAAGTATAAACTTTAAATCCGTTTTGACCGCCCCTGAAACCCCCAAACTCTGGGGCCCCTGAACGCCCCGAACCTTGCAGGGGGAGGGTAGTCGGTCCCATAATGCTCCTCCTGAGAATGGAAGCGAGCCGGGACCATAAGGTCTGTTTACTGAGAAAGAAAGAATCCCTCAGTCACAGGGTGGGAGGGTGCTTTCCACAAGAAGAACAGAGTTGTTTCGCCTCTCTTCCTGGAGAACCTTTCTATCACATTTGCTATTGTGTCACGGATCGTCATTCCGAAGTGTGTGTGAATGATTGGCAAGCAAGATGTGCAAAGAATTGCAGTTGCTTACGCGGGCTGTACGCTAAGTTTGTCTGCTGTTCCCCTGGTCTGAGCCCTGTGGGACTTGATCCCGTGACCTACAGTTTGTATGTGGTATTCACTAGCTTTGAGTCCTACTGGGCTTGACCCATGAACCTGTCACTAGTAGTCTCTATTTGGCAGCCTTAGGGCCTTCAGGTTTGCTGTTTTGTCCTTGTCTGCTCTTCTGGAAACTGGTAGGCCCCTAGGTCTCCCTTGTGTGTGTCCTAGTCTTGGGTGCCTTGGTCTAGGTTCCCATCTAGCTTTGAGTCCTACTGGGCTTGAACCATGAACCTGTCGCTAGTAGTCTCTATGTGGCAGTCTTAGGCCCTTCAGGCTTGCTGTTTTGTCCTTGTCTGATCTTCTGGAAACTGGTAGGCCCCTAGGTCTCCCTTGTGTGTGTCCTAGTCTTGGGTCCCCTTGGTCCAGGTTCCCATATAGATGCAGATAAGCAGATCTTGACTGTTTGGCCGTAGATGTGTGCTGTTTGGACGGTCAGATAGGTTTGTAGGTGACTGCTGTGTTGTAAGTCTAGGGAAGTGGGGTAGAAGTAGGCAGAGGCCGACAAGTTTGAGGTTCTTTTCTTATTTTTTTGGAAGTGGCGACCGGAGTACGTGAGCGGCATTATTTCCAGCGCTCAGTCTTCTTCCTCTTTGAAGGGGAACTTGGGCAGCCATAGCTGGGGCGCCCTGCTGCTTGAGGAGGCAGCACCGGTAGGAGGTCTTCCAGGTGCTCATGTCACTGCCACCACGCTGCTGTTTGTCGGGGTTGACGGACGCCGCTGTTCATCAAGCGGCTTGTTGCTGGTTGCTGCCATACCAGGGCAGCCATCATCTTCTCCATCGAGGTTCACCTTCTTCTTCACGGTGGTTTGCGGCGCTGCGACTTGATATCTGGCTCATGCCAGATCAGCGCCTGTACTCACAGGCTCAGGGCATGATGGGATGCTGTTTTCAACAGTGGGCTATCATTGGAGGCTGGGGGTCGTGGGGAGAAGAGGAAGTTTCAGTGAAACCTCATTGAAGTGTATTGTCGGTGGTTAATTGGAGGTGAAACCGATTTCGTGGTTGAGATTCTTGGAGTTGGAAAAAAAAACAAAAAAAAGTTGTTCGGTTGACAGGAGGAGAGAAGGGGGTGTAATAAATAATTGATTGAAACATTTTTTCTCTCAATGTTTTCCACTGTGCAATATCTCCATGGCTACGGAGTGAATCTGCTCTCTCCAGTCTGCCTGTCATTGCAGATGTCTATGGGAACACATTTGAATGCAGTTTTGAGTTGTGAATCAATCGAACACATAACAGATGCATGCAGCCTGCACTTACGCACATTTTGACTTTGTGAACGATGATATCCACCAAAGGATCTGAAGCTCTGCGAACTGACGCCAGCGAGCAGAGGTGTGTATAGAAGAAGAAGATCCTCCGTGCCTCTTCAGAGATGAAGTCATCCGCATTGGTCATTCCAGGCTTGTGACCTGCCTGTGCAATATTCCTGAAAATGAAGCAGGAAAACACAGAGGGTTAGAAATTAGAATTTAGAATGCAAAGATATTAGCGGTAGGTACCAAATTTGCTCAGGAAGCGACCATGGATACCCATTTTTTCTCCATGGCCACAGCGCGGGCTAGACGTACAGTCATAGAAGCCCTTTTTGACCCAAACAACAACGGAATCATAGCTACTGACACAGCACACTGCACACTAATTACTAGGACCTTTTTCAAACAGCTCTACAMGTCCCAGATCCCACCCTCCCAAAAGGAAAAAAGGGACAGGGAACTGGAGGAGTTCTTAGCACCAATGGATCGGCACCTCTCCCCACAACAGCGAGAACAGCTGGAGGAAACCCTGTCTAAAAACGAAATATGGGCARCACTCCTCCAAATGAAAGAGGAAAAAAACCCCGGCATAGACGGCTTCCCTAAGGAATTTTGGGAAATCATGTGGCCAGATTTGAGCTCGGACCTATGGGAGTACTATCAGGAGGTGTGGAATGCCGGGGAAATGGGAGAAATTGTGGGTAAGGGGGTGCTATCGCTGCTATACAAAAAAGGCGACAAAATGAACATTAGGAATTATAGACCGATCACTCTACTCACAGTAGTCTATAAGATGGTGGCCAAAGCGCTGGCACATCGTATGGCATCTGTCCTGGAAGATGTCATACACCCGGCTTAGACAGGGTTCATGACCGGAAAAAATATACAAGAAAACATCTTACTAGTTAATGAGGTGGTCCAACTAGCCCAACGGAATAAAGCAAACGCGGCCATTATATTCATTGACTTCGAAAAAGCATACGACCATGTTGACTGGGAATTTTTGGACAAATGCTTGGCAAGAATGAACTTTGGACCGATCTTTCGCCAATGGGTTAGGATCCTTCATCATAATGCCACCACCTGTGTGCAGGTCAATGGGTCGATAGCGCCCCCCTTCAAGCTTCAGAGGTCTGTAAGACAAGGGGATCCCATTGCACCCTATCTCTTCTTGGTAATAATGGAAGCACTCTCGGCCAACCTCAGGCATAACAAGAGCCTCTCTCGCATTAAGATCACAAACATCCCGGAGGAGGCAGTACCGATCTGTTCCCGTTTTGTTGATGACCTCACCATAATGTTGGAAGCGACAGACCGTAATATGGAAGAAATCCAAAATCTCATGAACCGGTTCTGTCGGCTCTCCGACATGGCAGTAAATTGGGGGCAGAATACGGTAGGATGGTGGATGCACCAGCAAGGAGCAAGGCCTCCGAAAAACCCGCGAATCACATGGCTCCCCTTGGAAGACCCCTTGAGGGTTTTGGGAGCCCTCATTACAGCAAAAGGGAAGCCGACAACCAACGATGACTGGCTGACAGGACCAGCCACCGCCAGACTAAAACAATGGAATAAAAAGCACACACCGTTATTTGGGCGGGCCCTGGTCATTAATAATGTGGTTTTGGCCACACTTTGGTACAAATCGATTATATGGCCCATGAGCGACAGGGGGCTAAGGTCACTAAAACAACAACTAGCAGCTTTCCTTTGGAGAGGGGACAGTAATACCCCCCACGCAATTAGTCGAGTAGCTTGGGACTCACTGATCCAGCCCAAGACCAGAGGAGGGCTAGGAATTGTGGACCCGGCCACGCAATCCCAGGCCCTTACCCTTCGCTGGCTTCAGCACATTATCTTCTCTCCGTCCTCCCCCTGGCCCCCCCTGGCTCTGGCACAAATCGCTGCCCTAGCACCTGAGGCCCCCCCAGAGACTGACCCCCTGGTATGGCTACAARACAGATACTGGAGGCTTCCAAGGAAAGATAAGAATGGGAACCCCGCAAGCACACATTGGCTGCGCTTACTTCGCACATGGAGGAAGCTCCCGCCGCCCGACCGACCCAACCCGGATCGATGGGAAGAAATCTTCAAACAACCGTTGTTTGGGAACCGATTGATTACGGATGCCTTGGGCCAGGTAAGATGCAGCTCAGATGCCCCTTGGAAAGGTTGGGTTAAACATGGTGCTTGCAGGGTAAGGGATCTGTGGGACATAGAGGCAAGATGTTGGAAGAGCTCAGAAAGGATGTGGGCATGGCTACACTACTGCCATCTCACGGAATCGGCGCTAAACGAACTCATTGAAAGTTTCCCTCTCCAATGGTATAGCATCCTTCGAAAAGGGCCTCAATTGAGAGAAATAGACTGGGTTTGCCTACCCGATTTCAAGGAAGAGATAGGACAAGTACATATTGTAGACCAATCACAGGCCCTAATTGAGATTTTCTCCGTCCAAAAGGATGACACTCTACAGGGCAGCCAGGATCCTTTTATCTGGAAGGACAGATCGAACATATATCGCATCAGAGTCCTGGACAACGACAGAGGACGATGTGCCTACCGCCCAACAACCCCGATTGAGGATCTCCCTTTCGATCCCGACGAGTGGCATTGGTCTCGGGAAGCCACGACAAGACAAGGGCSGACAAAACAACTAACACTTTACAATCTAAAAAACCAAATCAGCCTATCGTATGCTCCGTCCCAAACGAAGACTGCGGAAGATGGTTGAGGACAGGTGGCATCGACACCTCAATGTGGACCGAAACTTGCTCAAGCCGATCCGTTGGTTCGCTCAACTTAGGAGTAGACCCGCTAAGATCTCGGCCCTTCAGTGGCAAATAGCACACCGATGCCTGCCTACAAACAACTGGTTGATAGATCACACTCGGTTGGAGCAGCAAGGTCGGGCGTTACCCTGSTGCCATAGTTGTCTCATGGGYWACCCGGGGAGGAAAAGGGYCGAAACAATTGAACATATCTTCCTCCAATGCCCAKCTTCGGTTTTRCTCTGGAGGGYTTGGGACAGGATCTGGCGACAYATTGTCCCCGRTGCAGAATGGCCATKGGARTGGAGGGCTATATTACTAGGTCATTACCCCCCGATTCGGGGAGACACATTCGAGGAGAACATGTTTCATTTGGGCAGGCGGGCGGTCCTGTGGGTCATCTGGTGGAAAACCCTGCATTTTGGAAATGGAAGGGGTAAGGGTTGAAGAAGGAGAAGTCACAAAACAATTACGCCTATTAGTCCAATATGAAATTGCTGCCCAGTGGAAGGCGGCCAGAGACAAACTTGACCAAATGAATTCCTGGTCTGACATCAACAGGATCATCTCCCGATTCAGTCAAGATTGGTTGGGAGGGGAAAGAAAAGGATGGGTGGCAGAGGTAAGATGGTCTGAGAATTGCCAGCAGGGAGGAGAGCTGCAAGAAGGACACCGGACGGAGACAGCAAGAGATTATCAGCTGATCTTCCATGAGTGGACAAACCTCGATCCCAACGAGAGGTTACGCCCGGCTCAAGAATTTGCAGACCCCTTCCCCCCCCACCCACTGGCACTGGAAGAGGTCCTCCCCCCATGAGCACAGTAACCCAGTCCGGTGAAACCGGCCCGGCTCAGTTACTTCTGCTCTGATTTTTCCGGTCCACTTTCTGGCCACGTGATCCTGCCCTCTTCTTCTGTGGTCCCCTCCTCCTGCTTCCTTCTGTTCTCTACTGATCTCTGCCTCCTTCTGTTCCTTCTCTGGTCCCCTACTCCTGCTCCCTTCTTTCTCTCCTGATCTCTGCCCCCTTCTATTCCTTTTCTGGTTGTCTATCCCTGTTTATCCCTGTTTATCCCTGCTCATCTCTGTTCACATTTGTCTATTCTGTCCCCGCCAACACAAGTCCAGTCTAATGGTTAGTAGAGCGACAGCAGCAGATGGACACACTGCAGGATTGGTTGGATGAACAGCACCGATACGGGACGCTGGACCTGGCAATGTACTCTGTTTCAGTTTTTCGGTTACAAGTTCAGTCTAGTGGTCAGTAGAGGGACCACAGCAGATGGATACACTGCAGGATCGGTAGGATGAACAGCACGGATATGGGACGCTGGACCCGGTTTCCAGCCTTGGAAATGTACTGTCTGTCTCAGCCTTTCTGATAGTCCCAAATATAAAGAGGCGCCAGATTGATTGGATGAACAGCACAAATATGGGATGCTGGACCCGGTTTCCAGCATTGGCAAAAAAGACATTGATCTGAAAAATACTCTTCAGTATTCTTCTGTACCTCTGTATCTCTCCAAAGGATTTCAGCTAATTTCAGCCTATTTCACTGCAGCCTGGTTTTCTATTGCTTCAATGGGCGCCATGAGGATAGAGGGTGGACGGCAGAGGCTAGGGGATGGAGGGGGACTCCACCGGTGCCCCCCGGTGCCCCCCCCCCAATACCCGACCCTGCTGCGGTTTAGGTATGGAAGAGTAGAGTGGAGTTGGGATGCTGGACCCGGTTTCCAGCACCATGGCCTCACTCTCATTGATGTACTGTGTGGCAAAGATGTAATTTTGGGACGCTGGACCCGGTTTCCAGCAGGTGTTGCTCCCCACCAATAGATGGAGCGGCCCGCTAGGCAAAGCCTCAATCCCGGTGGTTCTCTTACCACCACCAGGATAGAGGTCTTGCACAAGGGCCTTTCATAAAAAAATAAAAATAAAAAAAAAAAGAAAGATATTAGCGGTAGGTAGATACACCTTTCAGTGTTGTTCGCTGTCCTTTTTTTCTTTTTTTTGAAAAGAAAAAGTCACCCTCGTTATATTCTGGGAGGGAGCCAGTCCGGTTGCTTATCCCCGGCAAGCATGAAAACAACAAGAATAGATATATCAGAAACACAGTGTCTCAAGGTAACAAAAAGCAGCGGGAGATTACCTAAAGGGGAAGGGGAAAAAAAAAGAAAAAAAGAAAAGGTACCCAGTCCTACCCTGTTGGCCCTGAGTAGCCATGTTCCTAAGCCTCCTACTCTATTGCCTTCTGCAGAGTCTCATAATGAAAATGTCAGTAATGAAAAGGTTAAAAATCAGAAATCAACATCCAAAACTTAATGGTCTAACTGAAAATCGATTAAAAAACCAATTGAGAACTTGATCTCCCAAGCAAAGAAAATAAGGGACAAACATGAAAATAGGCCCTTGGCGGGGTAAGGGCACGAACATGGCAATGCCCACCTGAAGCGGTCTCCCCCAGTGCCCACATGCCTTAATGCCCCATCCGCCTCCACCACCCCGCCCACAAGTTTTGGCACAGCGCAGCTGCGGCCGCCGCTGCGTTAACACGATTCCCCGCAGTTTGGGTTAACACGATTCCCCGCAGTTTGGGTGCCGACTAAGGTCGACCTTCTCTTTGTTGTTGTTGTTGTTGTCGCAATTGTGACCTCAAGTTTCTTTCTGGAAAATGCGGCCAGACATTTGAGGTTTCATTTGTTTTGAATCTTTTGACTTTTCAATCAGTTGCTTCATTTTTTTGTTGGGCCAAAAATGTGTGACACCCTTTAGTTTTCTCAACTCAATGGATGCTGCTGGGAACTAACCCCGGGCAGCGGGAAAAAAACTTTGAGGCCTTCTTGGCCTCGATCAAAGGCATGGGGCTTGGGGGGCGGGTCGTTGTTGAGACGTTGCCAAGACAATCCCCGGGTGTCTGAGGTGGGCCGCGCCTGTGATAAGCTAGGATCCGTACCTAGCGGCTTCAAGTACCCTTCGGAAGGCCCCGAAGCAGGGATTTTAGTTGATCAAGAAAAGCAGGGTCCGTTTTTCAATTTTCGGGACTAAAAGCCTGCATCTTTCGGAATTGCCCCTGTCCTTGTTGGTTCTCCGCACGGACGGTTAGCAACCGCACGGAGAAATCCAAGAAACAGTTAGGAATTATTGTGGTCCGCATTCAAATTTCCTTCGTGTTAAGGCACGTGTGGCCATTTTGAATTTTTGCATGCCGTGTAAGCTCGCTTCCCGCTCTGCACCTACACGCCATCTTCCCTTCTTGCTAAGAGCACTCCTCCGTGCTTACCTCTTCGGCTTCCCCCAACTCTGCGGCTGAATCCTCCTCTTACCTATCGGCACGAATGATTGGTCGCCTGGTTGGGATGGTCGGATCAATGCCGCGAGAACGATTGCGTGCGCAGCTCGAACGACCACCCCAGTTAAACAGAACTATCGGTCATTCCGCCTCTCTCGATCCTTCTGGAATCTCCTTCTTTCCTCTGGCCTGCTCATCTACACCCCTTTGCTGCCTGCACCCCGCACTGGCACCCCGCCGCCTTCCGCGCTATAAATTATTGCAGCCCCTTCCTCTCCCCCTCTTTGATCTCGGCTGCAAAGCTGCGTGAGCTATGCGCGAAGACCACGACATCGAATAGGCTTGACTTGCCCAAGTGACGGGGGGGGTGACGACATGGGGTGGAATTGGTGATAGACTTGGGGAAAGGCTGTCGGAGGGATGGAGCGGTGGTGGAGATAGAATGCCGCCAGCGGCACGGCCGTGTGCCTATGGTTGGTTGATGTTCGGATTGGTTGGGGTCTGTGCCTGAGGGAGGCCAGCCATGTGGGAATTTTGAAAAGCAAAGGATTTGCTTTTGTCTCCATTGCTGCTTTGTCCAAGTGTGGTGTGTGCAATATCCCGGGTGTGGATGTTCGGTCGCATGCATGACATTGGTTACGAGGGTCTATGGATGCTGAATGTCTCGCTGTCCAAGGATGTATAGATGTTGAATGAGGTCATGTGTGTGAGGTGCCTGAGGCACAACTCTGGGGAGCACGGGGGTGTCAAACGTCTGCCTGAATGCATGAGTGTGTCTCCTTCCCCGATCCCTGTCCATCCCGGCGCCACGTGTGAGCGCAGGGATCGTTGCTGACCCATCCCTCCCTCCCCCCCCCCTCGCGCGCAAGTGCCACGTGTCAGTTAGTCTGGTGTTCCATCCAGCTGGCCACCGACGACCAGGGACATCGGTCGCACGTGTCCTCTTGCGTCGCCCGATCTCTCTGCTACTCGGCCATAGCCATTTTGTCCTAGTAATAAGTTTGTGACTAACGGCGTTGTGTCCCTGAACTTGCATCTTGATTTAGAAGGAGGGAGTGGGGTGAGACCTGTTGAGATTTGTATGGAGTCGAGATTCACCTCGTTAAATGTGAGCGCGGGTAGCTGCCCGTGCTCAACCCTCTTGTCAATCCGCCACAGTGTCCTTCCACCCTTCCCGATCGCAGACGAGGAAAGTGTGTATTGTGATGCGGACGTACGGAGCGCGCTGTTGCAAACCGACAGGTTCACTTCTACAACCCAAATAAGGCCTGTCATGTAGGGGGGAGTGGGTTTGTTTTGATTGATCGGTTCTCCTCCCCTCCCCTGATCTTGCCTTACACCGATTTGACGGTGCTACCTTGGTCAGCAGCCCACAGCACGTGGCGGCCCCAGTTTAATTGTCACTAGTGTCAGCAGGGGGACTTGTGTTTCTGGTGGAGGCTAGTCCTGGGGTACGAAGGGGCGGCCAGGTTCCCAGAGCTCTCGCATAGTGCGGGCGCCCTCCTGGCGAACTTCCAAACCTGGGTTCCACCAGTCTCGTCCGAATCGGACGACGCTGCACCTAGCCAACCTCGCGGACTCGGTGAATCCAACTTGGAAGCCTAAATGCTCCATGTCTTTGGGTTCCTTCCATAGAGTTAGCGTGAACTTAGCACGAGAGAAGCGGTAAATTCCGCTCTTCCCTGTTCCTTTTCCTTTTTCTGTCGGGTTGTTCTTAGTCGGCCTAGTCGCGGGCCGCTCTCAGCCCCCTCGACCAAGCAGAATTTTTGAATTATACCCCGCGCGCAGGTCCTGATTAACTCCTCGAACTCCCTAGTATCTCCATTTTGTCTTTCACGTCGGCCTGAACTTTGGGATAACCTTGGAACAAAACGAGAATCCCCCGTTCCATCCGGGTGATTCAACCCCCGGCCAAAAATCCTCGGCCACACCCCCAATTACTCTGATTGGCGCCTGTTAGCACGGGACGCTGCGTGGGGCGTGAGGTTAGCGCATCACACGCCGCCCTGTAACCCAGCTGTTGGGGGTCAGGGGCTGGTTAGAGGTTTGGTAACAAGGCAGAAAGACTGAGGATAGGTTAACGATAGGACTGCTGTGTGACATTCACTAGTTAGGCTCTAATTTGGCAGACTTTACACTTTTTAGTTACTTGCAGCATTTGGAGTTCTCCGCATAAATCATATCCCAAGGTGTTCTGTATAAGTTTTCAGACATGTTTTCAAACGGGACACTGGGCCCAGTTCCCAGCACGTGTTGCTCTGCACTAATAGATTGGAGCGCGTTAAAAAAAAAAAAGGCCTCGGCACTAAGACCGCCTAGGAGCCTGACCAGGGGGAGGCACAGCCAGGCGACCCGGACCGCGTTCCGTGCGTTGCAGGATGACCCACATTCCCGGATTTGTAACCTAGCTTAAAAGCAGCCAAAGGACAATGACCACAGATCAAGCCTCGATGGAAACATAAGAGTTGAAAAAAAAAAAGATTACTATCTGCCTGGTCCGTGAACGGTACACAGATGTAACTGTTGATAAGGGTTCAAAATTCCAATCCCATTTAAAATGTAGGGCCTGGTCCCCACCTTAGAAAACAAAAAAGGAAAAAACAAAGCAGTCTTGGGCACCCTGTTTCCCAGGCTTTTGGGGAGCCTAAACCAGCAGTCAATCCTCCCAGAATGTGTAATTATTAATTAATGCTTCTCGAAATTCTTCTTGTGTATTTCTCAGTATTTGGTATTCTACTATCATGACTTGCCAACGTCGCACTAGAATAGGAACTGAATTGGTGCTCCCCGACAACTGCTGTCCGGTATATCCGTGGTAGGGCCAACAAGTGGCCCCGTAGATAGGGAAGCAGAGGTTACGCTAAGGAAGCAGAAAGATGAGGTAGGTAGGGGTGGATCATGTGAGCACCCATTTAAAAAAAAAAAAAAAAAAAAAAAAGAACCAACCAATACCATTCTCCATCAAGCTTTAAAAAAAAACAACCCCTGAGGGTATCACTTCAAGATGTATTCAAATTTAGAACATGCAGTAAGGTAATAGAGATGACGAAAAAGGGACTCTGGGCCCAGTTCCCAGCACGTGTTGCTCCCCACAAACCAATTGGGGCATTGTTCTCACAAAAAAAAAAAAAAAAAAAAAAAAAAGACGAGGAAAAAGGAAGG